CCTCGTCTTTTAAATGCAAGTAGGTAACATCAATAATAGTTTTACCTAAGTTTAGTGGGTAGAAATTGTAAAATGGCACTCGAACAGGTAATTTCCTTTTGGTAGTGGTCTTTCTTTTTCCGTTGGTTATTATGTATTGAAAATATCAAAAGGTTATCGTGAAAACATTGAAAACTTTTTAGTCCAGTTGGTTACGGTTTCTATATGTAATGATAATTTTCGGTCTGTTTTCACCCATTTTTAACAACAAAAATAATTAAGTGTGTAACATTTTTAAGACCAAATTTGACATTTAACAGTTCCACTTTTCAACCAGTGTTTAATTGGTACGATTTTTTTGGTTAATGCTCGTATAATCGATATATGTAATTAACAAAAAAAAAAACATTTAAAAAATCATTTTTACGACTTTCTGCCAAAATGACGCTCATACGCAGCTGGATCCTTGTTTCGCAGATAGTATAGACCCTAAACTAAAACGTAGTGGTGGTCTCTTGAACTGCTCGGCCCTGCTCGTTAGATATAGTCCAACTTAGGCAAAAAAACATTTTTTTTCAATAATTGCCCATTTTTAACCAATTTTAATTAACCGTGTAACCTTATCAACATACCCATTTTAAAGTTTAGACAATTAGCTTTCCAACGGTGTATTAAATTCAATGTTTAGACCGTTATTCGCTGAGAAAATTGCATTTGTTTCAAATGCATTTTCTCTACAATTTTCAAAATTTTCCTAAGTCTGATGTCTGTGGCGCAATGAGTTTTCATCACAGAGGGTTGAAATTTTGGGCATCTAGGTTTGAACTATCTGGCAATCAAATTGTTTACAAGATACGTCATTCAAAGCAAGTCAATTTTTCGATTTTTGGCCACCACTTTCCCCATAGTGCACCGGTGCTACACCACCGAACACCGAAAAAATTGGGGTGTAGCTACGTGCACCTTTGTTTACAAACAAATGATGATGAGCTGTCAATGATTCACGCTTATAGAGATTAGTGACGTTTAACGCACGCACACTAGCGTAAGCAACGCCGTGTAAAGTTGTTTATTATTTTCCTCTGGCTAACCTAAACAATGTATGAAAGTAGACCTGTCAAAATGAGTTTGACATCGATTTGTTATGTATTTTCACTAGCACACTCTCACATATCGCACCAATACAACCGGACGTGGAAATCTCAATTGCTGCTTACACTACACCGGTGTAGTGATGTGATGTGAATGGAACCCACCATCAGTGCAAGGATTACCAATGTATGCAGATACTTTACCGGTTGTAAAGTTCTGCCTGATGGTTTGTTGCAGCAGGGTGAATCATCTTCATTGAAGACCTTTGGAAGACAAAATGACCAGATGGCCATATGTAATCACGTGACAAGGGACTGGCAAATCCACGAACCCTCGATCAAGATAAGTTTCAGCAGAACATAAGTTTCAGCAGAACAAGTTGTCGAAGTTCCCGAAAAATTACTTGCTTTGTCAGGCGATTTGCACCTGTGAATTGAAAAGCGCAATTTTCGTGACAACTGGCATTGTCAACCAAGATATTTATGAAAAGAAATGTTTGCAAAAACGGCTGTTGCCTTCTTTAAAGATGCACAGTTGTTCTGTTCCGTGCTATTTTGGCCAGACCTCGCTTCCTGTCAATACAGGAAAATGGCTTAGGGGCATACCGCCAACAACCTCCAAACTCACCGGAGCTGCATCTAATTGAAAAATATCGGGCAATCGTTAAGTGGAACCACAAGCAAACTCAGAAAACAGTTGGAAATGAGAAATAGTTCAAAGCAAATTGACGTTCAGCATCAAATAAGGTTGATACAACAGTGGAACAAAATCTGATTGGTGTAAAACGTTAAGCCTGACAGTTCGCATTTGAAAAATTGGAAGCCTTATCAAATAATTTTCCTGTATTGTGTAGTCATTAAATTTCAAAACGAAATTAAGGTTGATCATTTATACAATAACATAATCAGTGTGCACTTAATCATGATTGACCAATTTTTGACCGTTTCACCCTTTATTAGACCACGTGGATAAGTAGATTTGAATCTATGCAAAAGCAATTTATGAGATATGCTCTCCGTAGTCTTCCATGGCAAGATCCTGTGAATTTATCACCGTATGACCATCGATGCAGGCTCCTTGGGCTTGATTCATAGGAACGTAGAAGGTATATTGCGCAGGCTGTTGCTGTTGCGAAAATTATTTTGCGTGAAACTGACTCAGTACAAATACTGGCACAACTGAACGTCTACGCACCAGGAAGGGTTTTACTAGAGTCGGTGTATAATGAGTCACGCCAAGAGTGAAGCCAAGTCTACCTATCGACCTGTCAAACCAGCTATCTATCGTGCAAAGTAAACAAACATTACGATGCTATGAAAGGTTCACGAAAGGTATTGCAATAAAATATAAAATATAATCGAATAAATGATAATAAACACGCAGTGAGCATGCAATTGTCATGGGATACGTTTGGTAATGATCAGTAATGAGAATTTCTACTATTTTTTTTATAAAATAATTTGACAAAATCACTGATATAATGATTTACTACAGCCGCCAGTGTTGGAAAAGTTCGCAATATTTCACGAAGTTCTCCAAGGGAAAAGTTCGCGAGCCACAGTGATTTTTTACGAACTTTTCCATCACTGACAGCCGCTATTATTTTTTCTCGCTAGAAGTCATTTGAAGTTGATATAGAAGTCCTCTGTTGCCAAGTGAAAAGAAAGGGAATCTTTCGAAAACCGTGATGCGAGTTCAACTGTTTTTCTCTAGGTTTTACTACAGCGAGATTTCTTGTCACTTGAAGCACGGCCAACACTATACGATTCGATTTATGGCGGCAAGATTTAGGCTCTGAACCATTTTGTGGTGTTTTTTTTACTTTTGGTTAAAATTTGGCAGATGGAAAGTTATTGATTAACCCTACTATCCGAGTGTGGTTATTTCGGACAAACAAGAAGTTACATTTTGACAACCGTGGCTGAGTTCTGCTAGAAAACCGATCGATCGGTAACACATGCATTTTCGAACATAAGACATAACTTTCGAAATGTCACTTTTAACCACGAGATAAATTCGACAGTGAGCATGCATAAGGGCCTATACGCGATGATCGATTCCAATTATTTTGGTAACACATTTATTTTCAAAGTGCTTTATTAAAATAAAATTTGTCTTTAATTGATGCACAACCTATTTCATGATTTCAATAGATCTACCAAAGATGAATACTAAGATGAAACTGTCGGAAGAAAACCTTTCTATTTTAGTGTCTTCTTTCACGGTCCCTTTCATCCAATGAGAACCCCCCGTATTCAAGGTAATTTTGTGGTTTTGCTGCCCCCTCGGAATAGATGAAATTTTGCGCTCATTTTTATCAAAACAATCACACCAAAATCAGAGATGTCCCATTTTTTAATTACTCGATTAACAACTAATCGATTATTTTTTGTTCGCTGTGCTGCCATTTTTCCACGAATAAGAGTGCAGCACATGTTTGAAACGACCGGTGATGATCCTGCGGAGATGTTAATGCTTATATCGGCATGATCTAACCGATTATAAATAGTTTACTTTTCGGTTCGTTAATCGATTAAACGATTATTCGAATGAAAATCGGACATCACTAGATGAATGTGAAACGTCATTTCAAATATAAGGCCGTTCATAAATAATGATACAATTTGAAAGGGACCGGGGCTAATCACAAATTACGTCTCCATGGTAACTGAAATAAACACGAGTGTTCACCGGTTGGATCTACTGTCTGTTTTTTTCCTCATCCTGCGGTGGAACTGCTTCCAGAAAGACTAACATTTTTTTTTATTTTAGGAAACGGTTTCAATTTCTGGGAGCTCGGTATTTTCATTAAGATCGCTGATTTCTGTATAAGAGAAAAGAAAGCGAAAATTAATCATCGTTTAATTTTTTTTTTCTTTAAATGTAAATATTTGATACTCACCATTTATTTTAGCCAGAATTGATGATCTGGAAGCTTTAGCAATTTAAAATTATGAATAGCCCAAATAACCTGATCCTGCATTCGCTTTTTCATTTCTGGATTAATAAAACTTAAGATTATTTTCTGGATTCCAATGAATGTTAAAAACTGGGCTGTCTAGCAATCTCAAATCTGCCAACAATGGAAAATGCCAATACTTTCTTCTGTCACCATCTTGAACTTAAGAGGTTACGCACAGAACATTTTCACACCATGAGATCACGGAAAATTTACGTGAATTTCACATAACCTTCACCAGCATGACACATGGACTCGACCAGTGAATCCAGCAAATTTCATTAAGATGTCGTTGAATTTTACGTGTAGCATGTAAATTTTATAAGATTCTTGTTTTTAAGAAGTCACCTGAATTTTCAGGTAAAATTTACGTTTGTTATGGGTTCAATGCAGTTCTTCGACATCAACGTCATCCGCTGCAGCATTTCAACGTAGATTACTGGACAGATGACAAATGTGACTGACGATGATGTGAGTTCCTGTCCAAAACCTAATACAACGATGAATTTTGCTCCTTTTTTTTCTGCTGAAGCTGAATACCAAGCGAGCTTGCATATATGATCGCCCACCGCAGCACTATTCTTCGCGCCATTGGACATAGTTTTAATTACACATTGACATAGTTTTAAGTTTTAATCTTCTGACCTTTGATAATGTATTTATTATGACAATATATTGAATTCTGGAACTGCTATATTCCAAACCTCTTTTATCAAATGTGGCTGTTATACTACCGCTCAAAAATAGATTTACAAGCACAATAATGAAATGGAAGTGGGAGTGGGTTTCGAAGGGTTGCTATACCAATCCGATGACGCATGCAGAAGCTCCACCATCAAGCTGTCATCACTCATTTTCTACATCACCGAAAGAACATGGTAACACATTGGTGCCGATTGCATTAAATTGCATATATATAAAAGCTCCGAGATTTCCAGCATGGACATAAACTGCTGTCGTTTGCTGCAAAATGGTTTATTATTCATCGAAAACTCTCGTCTGTAGGTTGTTTTTGGCAGTGGCTGCCATTTTTGTGTTCACTAGTAGTATCCACCCAATCGAAGGAAAGATATGTGGCCCAAAACTAGCCCAAACGCTATCTTTAGTTTGCGAGCTATATCCCACTCCATCTCCGGTGAACAAACGGGCCAAAGGTAAGCAAAATGGTTCATGTCTATTTCATTTTATAAGTTGTTTTAATTGCTTCGTCTTGCAAGATTCCCACATGAATGGATACAGTGCACTTGATGTCAAAGATTGGTCTAATGCGGTGGAACAACTGGAAGACTTGTCCTACGCGAGGAAATACATAAACATACCAAACTGGATAAAAGCCTTATATTCGAAGGATGCTACCAACAATGTGATGATTGAAGACGAAATCAACGAGTTCATTCCGGACGGTTTTCGACAGGGAAAACGTGGTATCGTAGAAGAATGTTGCCATAATCATTGTACCCTAGAGCATCTGATTAAATACTACTGCGCTAAACCCTCCACCAACTGATTATTGATAAGAAGCAGTTCTTTCACTATTATGAATCAAATAGTTGTAAAATATATCTTTCTGTTTTCAATATGATCCGATTGGAGTATAATTGAGTCATACACGAGCCTATATTTGCAACCGTTTGATGCGTGAAGCGGCGAGCTAAATACATCAAATATTTAGTTTATATGATAAGAATAAAATATGTAACCTTAGGATTTGGGATCATAAATGATGATGATTCAATATACAAAGTTCTCAGACACAAATTCATAAACCTAGGAAATACATTCAGTTCTTCATATTTATATTGTTTAATGTCCCACAGTACTCTGGAGAAAATGAGCCCTGGGGCAAGAAACTGGGCATTGAACAAACAGTTACACTACAACAAACAATATTATAGCCATTTTCCCTATAGTTTTAGACGTGTTAACCCTTTACTTCCAAGAAGGTTTTGGTTGTTGTGAGATGCGACAATTTATTTTTGAAAAAAGTGCTAGAACAAAAGATGTCCCATATAGCCAAAAAGGTTTGAATCCATAAAAAAAGTGTTTGATTAAAACCAATTTCATGCTAATCATTTTTCAATAGCTACTCAGTTCAATCCTCAAGAATACATATGAACAATAATAATGAACATACGGAAAATCATAAATAAGTTCCGAACCGAAAAGTTGTGGATCACCTGTGCTACCATGGAAAGGAGAGATTGAAGATGTCTTTGCTCAATAAGGTCCTTCATTTGGCTTTTGGTTTGCAAAAATTTGGGTGGACATTATGTTAATTCCAGTTTGTTCCAGTTTTGCATCGTTTTACATCAACAGCCAGGAAACAGAGGAAGGGATAGATGTGCTGCATGAAGAAATGGTGAAAATAGACGTGACGACCCTGGAAACCGAAAACGAAACCGAAGAGCCTGAACCCTTACTGACCTGGTCCCAGAAATGGCAGAAGCATTGGGCTGATAAAAAGAAAAAAAAAATAAAACAAGTGAAGAAAAATGAAAAACTCAGACCGCCAAAATGTACAAATCAAAAAATATTACCCCCTCGGCTCCGTTTAGCTCATAGAGCCATTGAGTCTCCCAAATAAAAACCATAGAAAAAATAAACTAATTAATATGAATCCTGATGAATGTGGGCGTCTTAGTGGAATACCTGTATAATGAGAGAGAGAAGGATTAGTATTTTCCATTTAATTCCACTACTTTATTTGCTTATCCTTGACATCAAGGATAAGCAAATAAAGTAGTGGAATTAAATGGAAAATACTAATCCTTCTCTCTCTCATTATATAATTAATATGTTTTTTTAATCTGATTTCCGTCCTACTCAACCGTCAACTCATAAATCACATAAAGTGCAGGAACTCAGCGATGAGTATATTGCGTCATGTTTTCCCAGGTTTTTCCAGGATTTTCCATGGAAAATTCGAGAAAAGTAAAGACTGGATTCACTCAGTCTATTGGTACTACTCCGAGACTTAATAAAATTTTCGAAGTTTCCTCATTTTCCGGCTGATTTTTTAGGTTTTCCACAAGAAACCAACTTTTACTGATCGCTGAGTTCCTGCTTTTTTGGCGATTATAAGTGAACTAAACTCAAATTTGGGTCGTTCTCATTCGCCGTGCACATAAAATTAACGCTAGAGTTGGTATAAATTTACGCGATATTTCGTGTAAATTTAAGCGCAATATCGCATAAATTTGCAATTTTATATGCAAGTTTGTAAACGATTTCGCTGTTTATGCCAAATGAAGGGAGATTTTATGCGATAGATAAAATTCAGATTTTTTTTTCTGTGTAGCATTGGTACTCAGTACGGAAAACAAGATCAACGGAATACAAATCAAGGAAAAAATCTAACACTGTTTCTTGATTCCAAATTCTTGCTACGAGTTTCAATTCCGTCCTAACGCATTGAAATGCCATTCAATTTTCGTCGTCCCCTGAATGAAGGCAGATAAAGTGCATTCGCAAGGAGCGCTTCTTTTGTATTGAGAACAATGAAAAAAATCTGGACCAGGTAAAATATAAAATCTTCAATTTCGATCGCAAGGCAGAGTTTATCTTCTTTTCCTCCTCAAGTTGTTTTACCAACACTGTTGCATCTTTGGTCGAAGCTCTGGTTGTCTTCCTGTCGAAACAATCCATGATATTTACATTAAAATTGTTTAATTATTAATTTCTATTTCGAGAAATATAGTCATTATTTGCTATCTGCTTTTGTTTATTAAATATCCCAAGCAAACTTAAATTATACTTATATTACTATGCAGTACTCGTAATTCCAAAGCGCTTGATTGATCGAAACAATATGGGCCTAGAAATTGTTTCAAAAGCGCGTTTCAGATTAAAAAAACAGCAACAATCGGATCTTTACGCTCCAAGTTGTCTTTCCACTTTGCTAACACCAATTTCAACGCAGTTTCACAAGAATGACCTTCCCGATATCTCGATTGTTCTGGTATCAAAAAACTATTACTATTTAAATACTCCAACAGCTGGCCTTTAACAACAAGTTCTAAAAGTTTCTCTAATGTATGCTAATGTATGTATGGGACGAAACTCTTCGGTTTTATTCGTTCCAGCAACTTTTTGAATAGGAACCACTAAGGATTCCTTCCAAATTTGTGGCACATGTCCAGTTTGTAATGATTCATTAATAAGGTCCAGCAAGATGTGGCCAATGACATGAAAGCAATCGTGAATAACTCTAGTATTAACATTATCTACTCCAGCCGATTTTCCTAATGAAAAACAAATAACTCAGTTCATCTAATGTAATTGGGTGAAAAACTTCAAATCCACACCTACTATTAACTGGCTGTTTTATTTCGTCAGGTTCATCGACCAATTCAATGGATTGATTAATCAATGAAATACAAAATAATCATTAAACTTAGCTGCAATTACTTGTCCTGACTGTTCTAATGTGCCATTAAAAGTTATGGACTGCGGTTTGCAATTAATAAGTTTTAATAAAGGTTTCAAAATTTTCCATAACTCTTTGCTGTTGTTTTGATGCTGATCAATCTTCCTTTGTACATATTCACAACGAGTTTTCTTTATCGATTGTGAATACTTATTACGCGCGATTGTGTACCTAGTCCAATGATTGTCATTATTTGATCTACAAAACTTTTTGTACCATTTGTCCCTTTTCCGTTTAAGACGCAAAAGATCCAAATTGTACCAGCTGTTCGAGTTCTTCAAAGAAACAAACTTTTGCACAACTAGTTGATTGGTACACGTTTTCAAAGCGTTATTAAGAACAGCTGTAGATTCATCTAAGCTACCGGCCGCAAATGGAAAATCCATCCATCCAACAAGGTTCGAAACAGCTTGCTCCAGCACTTCAATTTTACAAAATTTTCGTTATCGCTAACATGGTCTAAGACATTAATCACTAAGGTCTCATGATCGATTATTTTCAAATCAGTATCCGTAACTGAACAAATGGAATCAAAATTGGAATAAACGTGGTCAATTAAAGTTCTACTGTGCCTGGAAATACGCGTATACTCATTTACCGTTTGCTTTAAATTAAAAAAAAAACTCAGTTAAACGCTTCAAATGATTCGAATTATGGTTATCACGCCAATTAATATTAAAATCACCAGCCAATATATTTAATTTACTAGAACCAAGGAAAGTCTCGAGCCAGCTCTCTAAAACTTCAACAAAACGTTGGTCACTAGAACTGGGAGAATGATACAAAACACCATAATTATCTATCTTCATGCCACGTACAACTGTAATGCCCAAGAACCAGTTGCCATCAATAACTTCGTTGGTACGAAGGTTGAATTGAACTGATTCTTTGACATAGATAGCAACACCGCCAGTGTGTCTAGAATGTGATAAACAAGCAGCAACAATATATCCCGGAATACTATACTGATTAAAAGCTTCAGTTTCTACAATATAAGTTTCAGATAATAATTCAAAAAGAGGACGTTTTTCCTTAACAATCTGACGTAATGCTAAGTAGTTTGTTGACAACCCCGCAATATTCAAATACAAAAAATCGAATTGATTCACACTCCTGAAACTTGGCTGCTATTTATTGAAACGCAAGCTGCTTTTCTTCTGATCAAAAAGTCTTTTATAGAGCAAACATTCCGAGCTAACAGCATGGTAACAAATTGTCGGTAATTTCTCGGCTGTTTGTAACATATTTAGCCAGGTTGGAGAGAATATAAAATATTTTACTCAGCTTTTGATTGAAAATTATCCGTTACCTACTAATCCTGGCCATAAACTTCTCCGGCTGCTGGTAAGCAAACACCGACCAAACTGTTTCCAATCAACCCACGGCAGTTTCATGGCAACTCCTATGTTATTGAAATCATTCACTGCTCCAAATTCACCACTAATTCCACCCGACGTTTGCGCGCACGCACTTATGCTCATGAATATTCACCGGCACCACATCACGCAGTCATATTTACCGTTGAACCCCCTTCCGCAGCTCGCCCATCCCAGCAACTTCCGCATGCAAATAGGTGGAAAAATTCTTAAGACACCTCCCCTTCCAAACCCACCTGTTGGATGGTCTTTTACTTACGCGGCTCTAATCATGCGTGTGGACATTGAATTTTCCCGGCACCCACAACTGCACCATCACGGTGATGATGAGATGATAATTCACACTCCGACCGGGCCTGTAAAATTCGTATAAAAGTGAAGGGATAATACCGTTTGTGGCACAGTTATCCACTGGAAGTTGAACCAGAGCAAACAGAGGAAATCCTTGCCTACCGTTTGTTTGGATTTGTGAATCTGTGTGTCAGTGGAGTGTCGTCTTGGAACGGATATTCGGAAGCAAAGAGGTAATTTCGGACAAGTGCAATGGTTGGAAATCATTTTTCAAATTGGTATTGTTGCATGCAAATAAATCGGAAAAAAAAGTGTATCAAAAAATCAATAAGTGCTCTCTAATTGGCGTGTAAGCTAGAAGTGAATCAAAATGTTTGTAAGTAGAACGTTTGTTTGGTGAAATGATTTCTGAAAGCAGTGTTCTACACATGTCTGGTGTTGGTGAATTGGCTCATAGCAGACATTCGTTTTAGGTTGCAGAGATGGGGAAATCCTTCGCTTTGTTTCTGTTGAGTCTTGGTGGTTTACTGATTCAGAATATCGATACCGTTCATGGGAAAGTTCAAGCCTGCGGAGATAATTTGGTGTTAGTAATATTCCAAGTATGTCCAAACGGGATCTATGGACCCGATCAAACCAGCCCAGCAGTATCCAAACGAAATGATCCCACCGGTAACAGTTTTGTAGTATGCTGTAATACTCCAGAAAATATTGACATGATGGCATTGCAGATATGGAAGCGTTGGGCAGCGCCTTCGATTCAAGGTGGCATCCTTTTCTGGCAGGACATTCGGATTTTCCAGTGATGTTGAGGACTAGAAGAGCTTTCTACAAAGGGATTGTCGATGAATGCTGCCTTAAACCATGTAGCTTTGATGAACTTCGCACCTACTGCAAAACCTCATGAACTTGGACCTCCTAAATATGCAAGGCTTTAAGAATGGTTACTGCTTGATCGTTTCCAATAAAAATACTTCAATACTTCGGTTCACTTGAACACAATACCCATACCCCAGGAACAATTATAGTCAATCCGAAACCCGAGCCGAGAATCGAACGAACGAAAAGGTTTGGATGCCGTTGGTGCCACAAAGTTTCAATCTTTTCTATACTTTCAGATACTCCGGATTGAGCGATTAGCGATATGGCATCCCACCGTCGGAGCACGTTCAGTGTAATCTTTATACTATGGTGTGGATTGTTGATCCTGGTAATGAGCCGCACCGAGGCTAGCAACAGTCGTGCTGAGCGCAATTCTACGGAAACGTTCCACCGGGCAACACGGGACAGAAGACGCTACTGCGGTAAAGTATTGACCGACACACTGGCACTGGTTTGCAACAGCTACCCATCGCCATGGAGAAAGAAATCAGGTGAGTGTGCGTCCTTCGTTGAGTGGGATGTGTAGTGCTCAGTAAAGGACCAAGCGCCTCCATAATGGCGACTGCGAGAAAGGAGGACGGGTGATGTGGGTGATGTGAACTAGGTAGGCACCAGTCACCAGGTTGGTTCGATCTCAACCGAGGTCGATGGAATTAAACTCTTTCAGTCACTACTTTGCTCTGGCAATAAAATGCCCGAATGTGAAGTGCAGCAACGTATTTTGTTTCTGTACGCAATCGAAACGAAAATTCGATTCAACGAAGGAAGTAGGTCATTGATTGACTATCTTTTACACATTGATGTGCTGCAATGCGATAATTCATCTAATTGAATCAACAATGGCATAATTGGATTGCCCAGTTATGTACCTATCGTCTAGACCTTCAGTCAATGGTCAATAGAAATAGCTACATTTCGGTATGTGATCAGTTTCTACATCTCGAATGATAAAGAGTTGAAGTTACCTCTAGAAGTGATTCAAGAAAAATGCACTTGATTTTTTAAGAAGCGGACTGGCTGGTTTTGAGCCAAAAGTACTGGGAAAACCAGAGCCAATCGAGCAGCACCTATCTTGATTGCATTGGCAGTGTTGCTAGAAATCACTAGACCCTACTAGACCCTCGCTAGAAGTCACCTAGGCATAGGTTGCCAAGGCAGTTTGTTTCGAATCCGCTCCTATCTTATACAAGACCCTCCCTAGTAATATAAATTGGATTACTGCAGTAAATTCTCAACAATTCGATACAGAGCTTTCCAGCTTCTATTATAAACTTAAACTCTTAACTTTAAGCTTTTTTTTACTGGTTTTATTGCTCCAAAGTCTGCCTTAAAGGTCAACATTATGTAGAAATTAATAGAAGCACGGAGAACTCATGAAATGCGGTGAAGGGATGACAAAATCGCGGAAGCACTGTATTTTTAAAGGCGATATTGAGTTATATGGGGTGTCTCAGCCAGAGCGTAAAATTATTGACTGCTTAGGCTGAGTGTGAAAGCACTGCACTGTGTAATTCATTGCTCTGTCCAGACCGTTTGTAAAAAAACGGTAAAGGCCGAGGCAATGAAAAAGCCAACAAAAACATTCAGTCACTCACGAACAGACGACTTACACCACTTGCCTTCGCTCACACAGCATGCAATTGAGGAATTTTTCCATAGAAAATATACGCTCATTCATTCAAAACAAGTATTGGGTACCATCACGGAAGAATAAACATGCTGACTGAGCGACTGATTGAGTGCTAGCATAGAGGTAACTCTAAGACTAGAAGCTCCCGAAATAACGTACTCAACTTTTTGGCTCAGCTCTGGTACTCTCTTCGGTCCCAAGCTAATCGATTCACCCCTCGAAACATAGGAAAAAACCAATAACCCCTCATTTTATCTGTCAAGCTTTCATAGCGAATCAAAACAAACATTGCGTAGTACTAGAATTTCGACTAGAATGGGGTACGTTAATCGTTTGCTTGGGACCAATAGGCTAGTCAAGTAGTGAGCCAATTTAAAATCGTTAGTTTCGTATTGATTGTTGGTGCTAGGCTGTCAGTGACTCGTTTACTTCTAAATCATTCAGATTCTCACGACGCATTGAATAATGAGACAAATGGCAGTTCATATTCATATGAAAATGACTCATTGAACCTGACTGTTTTACGCACTGGTCTCAACACAGTTTATTTTTTGGAGTAAAAAAACGTTATGTTAATGAACTCATATTTTCATTTCATATATATGTTCTCTACAGTATTTTCTTTCAATTTGATGCAAATAATCCGCAGTTCCTTTAATTTTATGTCAAGGAGCGTAATTTTGATCTTACGCTGCCCATGAGCTTCAGCACAGATTCCTTGGCGATAATTTCGGCCACCTTTGTCCAGTCTTTTTCAAATTCTTCGATTGAATTTGCTACCTCAAAGTGAATCCGTAGATATCCCTTTGAAAAGACTCAAAAGGTTTCGATCGACTGGGCCTCCGGACAATTCGGAGGATTCGTCTCTTTTGGCACGTACCTATTGCACATTATTTGCTTTGTACCAAGTTACCGTGTCTTTCGAGAAGTGCATTAACACCAAACCGAACCAAAATAGTACTGGGCCATCATGTTGACGGATCATGGGCCGCAGACGCCGATTCAAACACTCCTGAACGTACATTTCAATGTCCATCGTCTCCTTCGTCAGACATGGCTTTGATAACTTGCCGCACTCACATATCGCTTCCCAATCCATGACTTTCTTACTAATTTTTTCGGTAAAAATAGACTAATCGGCATCTTCAACTTCCTTACCCTTATGGACTGTATAGTAGGTATTGGTCTCCCGGAAGCGTTTTGCAGTCAAATTGACGTATGTTTCAACGTCCATGATAACACACGCCAATTTTTCACACAGCAGGCTATCATATAGCTTCCGAGTCCTCAGTTTGACGGATGCGGCTTGTTTTTGACTCCATTTCGGCTTCTTGAACGTTTCAACCCGTTTCTTGCCTTGGCACCTTGGACGTTACTCTTCGATGTTCTCAGTTTGTCAAATTTCGAACATAGGCACTTTTCTTATTGACGAAAACATGGTGATATTCTGGTTCACTTTTCGGACCACCAGTCCCGGTTTACGGCCAGATTTCGTTGTGTCCTCGAAGGGAACTTCTTCAGCGAACTTCCGAATGGCGGTTTGGACTGCTCCCATACTTACTTCCTCCATTTTCGCCAACTTCCTTACTGATAGGTTGGGAATATTGCACCATTTGTGCACGATCTGTTTGCGTTTTTCCGGGGAAATGCCTCGCATTTTGATGATTTTATAAAAAAAATGCACTTTGCGCACACAAACTTGTTGAGCAATAAGTAAACAACAACACACATCGATGAACAACTGATAAACTTCATCAGGGTGGAAATGGCGGTGAGTTGAAAGTGCTCGGAAAAAAATCCGTTCCCGAAAACGGGAACGGACCGTGAACTAAAAATCACGGCCAACTATCCAGAACAAAATTTTCTCAAATATACACCGTGAACTATGGTTCACGGCTGTGGTTCACGAATATGGGAACTCTTTTTTTCCCGTGTGTGCTTATACTTTCTTAGACACCCAGGGCTCTACATTTTCGAAGCTCTGAAATGAGCTCGAGTTTATTCTTCTTTCAGGTAACGTGTCTAACACGTCATTTCCATAACGCCTGTCTAGTCTAGCAACGCCAAACGAAAATGAATAAGAAGCACGCTAAGAGGAAAGGGGACTTCGTTAATTTATGGAAATTCAAAAGCAGCTTTTCGTTTAAACCCGGAATTCTGTCAATGAAAATGTGTTCACTGTGTACCAGTCGGAAAGTAAAATGCAATTAATACATTTTCATGAACGTAATTATGATTTTGAACGAGAAAACTGCTTTTGATTTTTTGAAAATTAATGACGTCCCCTTTCACCGTAAGAACGAAACGGATTTTCTCGTCTTGCTTTGCTCACTTCCGTTCAATGGAAGTAACGTCGATTTTCGAGTTGAAAAGAAGCCTTAATTTGACTTTCAATTTCTTTCACCGGCACTCCGTTGTTTAACCGGTTTGCAATACCGAAATACCGGTTATGAAAATTCTAAAACCCGATAGTTTCAATAATTTATGTATCTAATATTGGACTCAAATTGCACAATTACAAGGCTAACGTTAATTCTGATATAATTCGGTGTTAAACGACAAAAACAAACTTATCATTTGATTTTTTGTTTTTTAAACGGTTTTGGAAAGCTAATAGTTAAGAGTTTTCGAAATATGATCACATTCAGGGTGATTTAATTAAAATTCGTAAAGGTTTTTCTAATTCTCCGCGTCCTACATCTCTCCAGCCGGGGGCGACCCCGGCGTAGTGGTTAGCATCCATACCTTTCACGCCAAAGTCACGAGTTCCATTCTCACCCCGGACAAGTCACGAATGACCCAAGAGCGTTAAAGTGACTATAATAAAAAAAAAATCTCTCCAGCCTTAAAACAACAACAACAATTTTGGTTAGAATATTGGAAATATGTCAACATGCACTACATAAATTGGCCATACAAGTATTACTTCCCACATTAGGTTGGGTCGATTTGTGATCCGACCGCCGGATACTTGTGTCCTTCACTCGTTTTCTTTCAAATTCCCTTACAACTCCCACTTTTACCTACGAGTGCTAATCAGATATTAATATTAATACATACTGCAATCCGGCTGGGTAACTGCTATAGTTACACCATATGCCAAAACCACAGCGACTGCACAACCAGACCGCAGCGCGGATGGGCACATAAAAACCCACTGAGCCAACCACCGGCAGGAGGATCCAGAGCATCATGAACCTCGAAACTTCTATAAACTCTATAATCTTCCGGAACTAAAGGTGACTTCGAAGCGTTTAAAACATCATTGGCAGTTTCAGAAGTTTTGGGTGAGGCAGCAATTTAGGGGTCTCCCTTAGCTCAGTCGGTAAAGGCGCAGCTATAAAGGTGGCTGGGTTCGATTCCCAATGTGGTCTAGACAATTCATCGACTTCCCGGACATGGAGTATGATTGAACTTATCACACATTAAATGTGTGGCAAGTACAATCATACGCCCAGGAAATGCGAGAACTTTATCAACTCGAAAAATTCCTATACCGGACTGGGAGTTGATTCCTGGCGCTTCCAGAATGTCCTTATTTATAGGTGTACAATTTTGAGTAATTCTAGATAGAGCTGGAATTAGGGTAAAACAGTTTTTGTAAACCATGACTTCACTCGATGATTTCTAGAAATTCAATACACGCCCACGCAAACCAATACAACCAGCGGCTTGACTTTCTAGAAATAATCGAGAGAAGACATTGTTTACAAAAGCTGTTACGCCCTGATTATAGCTCAATCTAGAATTATAAATTGAGAGCATTGTAAGTCTGTACCATTTTTGTATTAGTACACGCAAACCAAAAATCTATTACAATAAATGTTAGTTCCGTTTCCTATCATCCTCTGTTCATGAACA